TTGATGGATACTGTGTTCTTTCCATGTTTTTGCTCTTATGAACGGTGTTACTATGGAAGTTGTTACATATGTCTCTGAATGTAAATGTATGAGTTTCTCTTGAGAATGGAATTGTTGAGTCATAGGGAATGTGTATGTACAATTTTATGAGATAATGCCAAATGTGTTCCAAAGTAGTTATACCAATTTAAATTCTCACTTGCAATCTATAAGTAACGCTGAGAATCTGTATTCTCTCCAACATGTGGTATTGTTATAAATTTTTATTTGAATTTTCACCGATTCAAATGGAAAAAAAATTACATATCACTTTGATCTTGATTTGCATTTTATTCAACAGAACACATATTTTTAAATTTATTAGGAAGTTTTTTTTATCATCTGTCAAATGCCTGTTCTTTATTTCCCCTCATTTTTCTATTGGGTTGTTTCTGGTTTCCTTAGCAATTTGTAGAAGATTTTTACATATTCCTAATATTTATTGTTTGTCATTTGTGTGATGACAAATACATTCCCAGTTTGTAACTTGACTTTTCACTTTCTTCAAGTTATCTCTTAAAGGTAATTTTCAAAAGTACAGAAAAGTTAAAAGAACAGTACAATGAACACCAGTTGTTCACCATTGTTCACCCTAGATTCATCAATTGTTAACATTTTGCCACATTTACTGTGTTAACATATGTTTATGTGCATATTATTTTGCTAAACCACCTGAAAGAAAATTGTTGACATCATGATACTTTATCCTTAACTGCTTCACCATGTATCTCTTAAGAATAAGGACATTGTCCTATATAACCACAATACTATTATACTTTTAGAATAAAAAATATTTCTATAATATATAATATAGTGGCAATATTCTGATATCCCCAATTGTCCCCAAGTTGTCTTGTAGAGCTTTTAAATTGGATAATCAAAGTTCACAAATTTATTTTCGTTTTTATGTCATTTTTAATCTCAAATAGTTCTGCCTTTTTTTCTAGTTGCTTGTTTTTTACATTTGTTTGATTCTCATGGCATTAAATTTTTGAGAATCTAGTCTATTATCTTTTAAAAACCTCCTCCATTCTGAATTTTTATAATAATTTCCTCATGATTAGAATTAGTTCAAACATGTTTGGCATAAAAGCTTTATAGGGAATGTTACTACCTTACTGTGTCACATCAGAGCCTATCAAGTCTGGTTGTCTCACTGTTGGTGATACTAAATTTGATTACTTAGTTAAAGCAGTGTTGACCAGATGACTGTTGTAGAGATAGAGTTTGTTCTTTGCATTTACAGTCATGCATCACTTAATGACGAGGATACGTCCCAAGAAATGTGTCGTTAGGTGATTTCTTCACTGTGAGAACATTATAGAGTGTACTTACACAAGCCTAGATGGTATAGCCTACTACACACCTATGCTCTATGGTATAGCCTGTTGCTCCTAGGCTACAAACCTGTATAGTGTGCTACTGTACTGAATACTGTAGGTAATTATAAAACAATGGTATTTGTGTACTGAAACATATCTAAACATAGAAAAGATATAGTAAAAATACAGTATAAAAGATAATGGTACACCTGTATAGGGCGCTTAACCATGAATGGAGGCTGCAGGACTGGAAGTTGCTCTGGTGAGTCAGTGAGTGATGGTGAGTGGATGTGAGGTCCTAGGACATGACTGTACACTACTGTAGACTTTATAAACACTGTACACTTAGGCTACGCTATATTTATAAAAAAATATTTTTCTTTCTTCAATAATTAACCTCAGCTTACTGTAATTTTATTTTATAAACTTTGTAAATTTCTTTAACTTTTTGACTCTTGTAATAACTTAGCTTAAAACACAAACACATTGTACAGCTGTACAAAATTTTTTTTCTTTATATCCTTATTCTATAAGCTTTTTTCTATTTTTAAATTTTTTAACTTATTTTTCTACTTTTTAAACTTTTTTGTTAAAAACTAAGACACAAACACACACAGTAGCCTAGGCCTACACAGGGTCAGGATCCTCAATATCACTGTCTTCCACCTCCACATCTTGTCCCACTGGAAGGTCTTCAGGGGCAATAACATGCATGGAGCTGTCATTTCCTATGATAACAATGCCTTCTTCCGGAATACCTCCTGAAGCACCTGCCTGAGGCTCTTCTTGAGGAGGTGTCACTCTTTTCAGAAATATGTCCATGGTGGTTTGCTTGGTTTGTTTCTTTTTTTCATCATAGATTTGCTTGTAAGCAGATAATGCGCCATGAACATTCCTCTCTATTAAGGAAAACGTTTCAGTATTGGGTTCCATGTTTCCAAACTTTTTAAGGAGGTTGTTGAGGTCTGCCAAAGCTTCTGCTACACCCTTCACTGTGAATTTTCTTGGGGGGTTCTTCTTTTACTTCTTCAGTTTCCTTTTCTCTTGCCTTTTCCTCAGCTATGCATTCCTATTCCAGCTCCAACAACTCCTCGTTAGTGCCTTAGGAACCACATCCAGGAGCTCCTCAATGTTGTCCTCATCCATACCCAGGTTAAAGTTGCTTGCCATCTCAACCTCAGACTTGTTGATTTTTGCAACCTCTTCATCCTTGGCAAATCCTTTGAAGTCATGGATGAACCTCTTGAGTGTTTCTTCCAGATGCCATTCATACACTCCTTGGTGACATCACCCCAAGCCCAAGCAAGGTTCTTGATGCAGTCATACATGTTGTAATCCTTCCAGAATTACATCGGTATCTTCTCAGTATCTTCCTCAGTTGCAGCAGTAGCCTGGGCAAAGGTCTTCCTCAGGTTGTAGGACTTAAAAGCTGCTATATCTCTTTCATCCGGTGGTTGTATCAAAGAGGTGGTGTTTAGAAGGGAGAAACACCGCTTTGATATTGGGATGAAGATAACCAATAAAAGGAGGATGTCCAGGAGCATTATCAACAATAAGCAAAATCTTGAAAGGTACGTTATTCTCCAAACAGTACTTCTCCATTTCCCTGGCGTAGCAATTCTGGAGGGCATCTTGGAAAAGGAGCTGGGTCATCCATGACTTCTTACTGCTCCTGTAGTACACTGGCAGTGTGTGCTTACTGATATGCTTGTAGGCCCTGGGGTTCTCATTGTGTCAGATCACAAAGGGTCTCAATTTGTAGCCTGCAACATTGCACCCAAGCAAGAATTTCATCCTATCCTTAAAAGCCTTGAAACCTGGCACTGACTTGGCCTCCTTATGGATTAAAGTCCTTTCAGGCATCCGTTTCCAGAATAAGGAGTTTTAATCAATATTGAATATGGCAATATGGCAATATGAATACTCTGGCAAGTAATTTTCCTCCACAATCAGCTTATCTAGAGTTTCCAAAAATTCTTCAGCTGCCTTCACATTAGCACTCACAGACTCACCGCTCGCTTTCACATTATGTAATCAATAACGATTCTTGAATCATTTAAACCACCTAGGGCTAGCAGTAAATTCAACATTGTAATTGGGTCCAGCCTTTTCTTTCAACATTGCAAGCAAATTTTTTCTTTGGTTGTGATCATCATGGTTTAAGAGGGATACACTTCTGTCTCTGGTCTTCAATCCAAGTCATTAGAAGTTTCCCCAGCTCTGATATAGGTCTTCCTCGAATTTTTGTTAGTCTCTTTGCTTTTACTGAAGTAGATCCTTTAACAGCTTCTGGCACATTGTTCTTCTTCAAGATCATAGCTATGGTGGAATGGGACATGCCTGACCGGCGAGCGATAACCATCACTGATTTTCCACCTTCGTAGTCCTTAATCACTTCTAATTTCATTTCAGCTTAATCACTTGATGTGGCCTCTTACTGGCCACATTAGCAGTGGATTTTGTACACTTACGGGCCATGATAAACAAAGCAACACAAGATTAAATCAAGCACAAGAGAAAATGATGCAATCAAGAGATGTGGTAAACGTGAGGTGCGTGAGGCTGCTGCTGCTGTAACATGGCCTACAGATTTACAGTAAACTATTTTTTTATAAGTAGAAAAACTACACTCAAAAATAACAATAAAAAGTATAGTATAGAAAATATATCCCGGTAACATAGCCATTTATTATCAAGTATCATGTACTGTACATAATTATATGTGCTATACTTTCATCCGACTGGCAACACAGTAGGTTTGTTTATACCAGCATCACCACAAACACGTGAGTAATGCATTGCACTATGATGTTACGATGTCACTAGGCAATAGGAATTTTTTAACTCCATTAAAATATTATGGGACCACCATTATATATGCGGTCTGTCGTTGACTGAAACATCCTTGTATGGCACATGATGGTAGTAAGTAACCTGTGGGGTGGTACTTTAGTACCAAATAACCCCAATGGTTTTGACATCAATCAGTTCTTACGATTATTACATTAGATGTTGCAAATTGGTGATTTCCTAATTATATTAGTCTTTCCAAAGTTATTAGCTAATAACTTCTGTTAAAAAAAGCTTCACCCAACCACATTTTAGAAAATATATCATTATGAACTCATTTATTTTCTTTAACATTTAATGTGATATGATCAATTACTGTCAATATTTTTTAAGACGTTGTTTTTTAGAGCAGTTTTAAGTTTACAGCAAAACTGAGGAAGTTACAGCGATTTCTCATATACCTCTTGCCCCTACACATGCATATCTTCTCCTTTTATCAGAGTGGTACATTTTTTACCAAGGATGAACCTATAGACACATCATAATCATCCAAAATCTGTAGTTCACTTTAGAGTTTACTCTTGGTGGTGAACATTCTATGGGATTGGACAAAAGTATCACATATCTATCATTATAATCATTATAATTCATTACCCTCTGTGCTCTGCCTATTCGTCTCTCCCTCCCCTACCCCTGGCAACCACTGATGTTTTTATTATCTCCATAGTTTTGCCTTTTCCAGAATGTCATATACTTAGTATCATATAGTATATAGCCTTTTCATTTTGGCTTCTTTTACTCAGTAATATTCATTTAAGGTTCTTCTCTGTCTTTCCATGGCTGGATAGCTTCTTTCTTTGTAGTGATGAATAAGATTCCATTGTCTGGCTGTACCACAGCTTTTTTATCCATTCACCTACTGAAGTATCTCTTGGTTGCTTCCAAGTTGTGGCAATTATGCATAAAGCTGATATAAGCATCCACATCCGGGTTTTTGTGTGGACGTAAGTTTTCAGCTCCTTTGGTTAGTAAATACCAAGGAGCACAATTGCTGGATCATATAGTAAATTATGTTTGGTTTTGTAAGAAACTGCCAAATTGTTTTCCAAAGTGGCTGTACCATTTTGCATTCTCAGCAGCAATGTATGAGAGTTCCTGCTGCTCCATATCCTCACCAGCATTCGGTGTTGTCGGTGTTCCATATTTTGGCCATTCTAATCGGCGCATAGTGGTATCTCATTGTTGTTTTAATTTGCGTTTCGTGGATGACATGATGTGGAACATCTTTTCATATGTTTATTTGCCATCTGTTTATCTTCTCTGGTGTGGTGTCTGTTAAAGTCTTTGGCTCATTTTTTACTTGAGTTGTTTATTTTCTTATTGTTGAGTTTTAAGAATTCTTTGTATATTTTGGATAACAGTCCTTTATCAGATATGTCTTTTGCAAATATTTTTTTCCCAGTCTGTGGCTTGTTTTCCTATTCTCTTGGTATTGTCTTTTGTAGAACAGAAGTTTTTAATTTTAATAAAGTCCTGCTTATCAATTATTTTTTTCATGGATTTTATCTTTGGTATTGTATCTAAAAAGACATCACCATACCCAGGGTCATCTAGGTTGTCTCCTATGTTATCTTCTGGGAGTTTTATAATCTTGTGTTTTACATTTAGGTGTATGAGCCATTTTGAGTTAATCTGTGTGAAGGGTGTAAGGACTATGTCTAAAGTAAATTCATGTTTTTGCATGTGGATGTCCACTTGTTCCAGCACCCTTTGTTGAAGAGACCGTCTTTGCTCCACTGTATTGCCTTTGCTCCCTTTGTCAAAGATCAGTTAATTATATGTATGTGGGTCTATTTCTGGGCTCTCTATTCTGTTCCTGTGATCTATTTGTCTTTTCTTTCACCAATACCACACTGTCATGATTACTGTAAGTAAGTCTTGAAGTCAGGTAGCATCAGTCCTCCAACTTTGTTCTCCTCCTTCAATATTGTTTTGGCTATTTGGGGTCATTTGCCTCTCCATATAAGCTTTAGAATCAGTTTGTTGATATCTATAAAATAACTTGCTGAAATTTTGATTGGGATTGCATTGATTCTATAGCTCAAGTTGGGGAGAACTAACATCTTGACAATACTAACTCTTTCTACCCATGAACATGAAATATCTCTCCATTTATTTAGTTCATTTTTGGTGGTGTTAATGTAAATAATATTGTTTTTAATTTCAAATTCCACTTGTTCATTGTTGGTATATAGGAAAGCAATTGACTTTTGTGTATTAACCTTATATTCTGCAACCTTGTTATAATCACTTATTGATTCCAACAGGTATTTTGTTGATTCTTTCAGATTTCTACATATGATTATGTCATCTGCAAAGACAGTTTTGTCTCTTCCTTACCAATCTGTATACCTTTTATTTCCTTTTCTTGCCTTATTGCATTAGCAAGGGCTTTCAGTATGATAATGAAAAGGAGTGGTGAGAGGGGACATTCTTGCCTTGTACTTGATCTTAGTGGGAAAGCTTCAAGTGTCCCACCATTAAGTATGACACTAGCTGTAGGTGTTTTGAAGATATTTTTTATCAAGTTGAGGAAGTTCCCCTCTATTTATATACTACTGAGAGTTTTTATCTTGAATGGATGTTGGATTTTTTTCAAGTGTTTTTTTCTGCCTCTGTTGATTGTGATTTTTCTTTTTCAGTCTGTTGATAGGATTAATAGCATTAATTGATTTTCAGATGTTGAACCAGCCTTTCATACCTGGAATAAATCCTACTTGCTTGTCTTGTATAATTCTTTTTATACTCTTTTGGATTTGTGTTGCTAATATTTTGTTGAGTTGCAACAAAACAATACTTTGTTTTGTTGAGTTGCTCATATTTTTTTTACATCTATGTTCATGAGAGATATTTGTCTATAGTATTCTTTTTGTTTAATGTCTTTGTCTAGTTTTCGTATTAGGGTAATGCTGGGCACATAGAGTGAGTTAGCAAGTATACCCTCTGCTTAATCCTCTGAAAGAAATTTTAGAGAATAGGTATAGTCTCTTCCTTAAATGTTTGGTAGAATTCACCAGTGAACCTGGTTCTTCCTGTTTTGGAACGTTATTAATTATTGATTCAAATATCTTTAATAGATATAGGCCTATTCAGATTGTTTAGTTCTTGTGTGAATTTTGGCATATTGTATCTTTTAAGGAATTGGTCCATTTCATCGAGGTTATCAAATGTGTAGGCATAGAGTTGTTGTTAGTATTCCTTTATTATCCTTTTAAAGTCCATGGAATCTTAAGTGATGTCCCCTCTTTCATTTCTGATATTGGTAATTTGTGTCCTCTCTTTTTTTCTTAGTTAGCCTGCCAAGTGTCTTATTGTTTTTATTGGTCTTTTCAAAGAACCGGCTTTTGGTTTTCTTGATTTTCTCTATTGATTTTCTGTTTTCAATTTCATTGATTTATGCTCTAATTCTTTGTTGTTTTTTTTTCTTCTGCTTACTTTGGATTTAATTTGCTATTCTTTTTCTGGTTTTCTAAGGTGGAAACTTAGATAATTGATTTTAGATCTTTCCTCTTTTCTAATGAATGGATACAATGCTATAAATTTCCCTCTAAGGACTGCCTTTGCTGCATCTCATAAATTTTGTTTTCATTTTCATTTAGTTCAAATAATTTTAAATTTCTCTTGAGATTTATTCTTCGAGTCATGTTTTATTTAGAAGTGTGTTGTTTAATCTCCATGTATTTTAGGATTTTCCAGCTGTCTCTCTGTTAATTATTTCTCACTTAACTTTATTGTGGTCTAAGAGCAGACTTTGTATGATTTCAGTTCTTTTGAGTATGTTAAGGTGTGTTTTATGGCCCCAAATGTGGTTTGTCTTGGTGAATGTTTCATGTGAGCTTGAGAAAAATGTGAATTCTGCTGTTATTGGATGAAGTAGTCTATAGATGTCAATCATATCCAGTTGATTGATGGTGTTGTTGAGTTCATCAGTGTCCTTACTGATTGTCTGCCTGCTGGATCTGTCCATTTCTAAGAGAGGAGTGTTAAAGTCTCCAGCTCTGATAGTGGATTCATCTCTTTCTCCTTGTAGTTTTATCAGTTTTGCCTATGTAGTTTGATGCTCTGTTGTTAGGTCAGCATACTTTTCAATTTTCAAATTGTTCCAAATTAGGTTAGCAGAAGCCCATTCAAATCACCATCTTTGTTTATTGACATGACTCCATTAGACTGAGCATTTCTTTGCTTTTGGGCTATAAAGAAATCCATTGCTTACCATACACTTCCCTGCCCAAGACCTATAATCACCTGTTTCTCCAAAAATCCCTGGTTCCTTTTCATGGAGAATGCTATTTAGAAATGAAGATCTGGGTAGTAATGGTGCACTTTGCTACTTGAGGGTGAATTGCTCATACAATTCTGGACTGTTTTTTCCATTAATCTATCTACTCATGCACTGGTACCATGCTCTTTGATTATGTAGACTTACGTTATATTTTAATATCCAGTACAGCAATCTTTATAATTGCTTTACTCAGGCAGAATTTTAACTACATATCTTAATTTTCTTTTTCCCCTGAGGAAGATTTGCCCTAAGCTAACATCTGTTGCCAATCCTCCTCTTTTTTTTTTTTTTTTGGCTTGAGGAGGATTAGCCCTGAGCTAACATCTATGCCAATCTTCCTCCATTTTTTTTGTATGTGGGACACTGCCACAGCATGAGTGGTAAGTGGAGTAGGTCTGCGCCTGGGATGCAAACCCACAAACCCAGCCTGCTGAAGCAGAGCATGCAGAACTTTAACCACTTAGTCCCAGGGCCAGCCCCAACATATCTTAATTTTAACATAGTTGAATATATAGGTAGTATATAGTTAGTGTTTGGTGAAAGCATTATGCACCATCTTGTTGAATTTACTCATTGTCATGTGATTTATTTTAGCCAAGTGGGAGCATTTGTCACTCCAGGCAGAATATTTAAGAGGCAGCATGAAATTAAATTAAACATGTTTTCTTTTTCTTGCCCTTATAATCATGAAAGTTTTTTTTTAAATGAAGCTTTGCTCAGCCTGGGTCCGTGAGTAATGAGCACAGCTCTTTTGCTACAATGGACATATAGTGCGTTATTTAAAGCCTAATTTACCCTGACTGAAAAATCTTATTTTTATTGTTGTGGGTGGTTGTACTGTTTGCAAAGAAATCCTTTTCTTTTCCAAGGTTTAATAGATCATTACCTCTGTATTTTACTAAGGGCTTTAAAGTTTAATTTGGACATTTAAGTCCTTCATCTATGTGGAGTTGATTTTTCTTAATGGTGTATAGTAGGAGTGCAATTTTATTTTTTATCACATGTGGATAAACTTTTTTTTTCCCCCAAAGCCCCAGTAGATAGCTGTATGTCATAGTTGCACATCCTTCTAGTTGCTGTATGTGGGACGCGGCCTCAGCATGGCCGGAGAAGCGGTGCGTCAGTGCGCGCCTGGGATCCGAACCGGGCCACCAGTGGCGGAGCACGTGCACTTAACTGCTAAGCCACGGGGCCGGCCCTGGATAAACTTTTTTAGGTCCATCTATTGAGTAGACACTCCTTTACAATCTGATCTAGCACAAGACCTCTGTGATACACTGAAGTTCCATACAAATGAGTTTTATTTCTGGACTTTCTGTTCGACTCCACTGGTGAACGTGTCTATCCCCATGCCAGTGATACACTTAATTAATATAGGATTATAATAGCTAATGATATGTTGGAGCAAGCCTCATCTTCCTTTTTATCAGAAATGTCTTTTTCTATAAATATTATAATCAGGTTATTAAATTCTATGAAAATCCCTTAAAGAATTTATTTGAAATTGCTGTTGGGATGTGGAGGGAATTCCATTGAATCTGGAGATCAAACTAAAAAACAACTGTTATTTTTATAAAATCGT